TTTTCTTTATATTCAGTAAATCAATTCGACATCATAGGATTACAAGAAACAAATTTCAAAGAAAGTTCATTCATTTTAATCGCGATTTTCCTAATTACACTACCTTCTTTAGCAATAACCAAAATTCCCGATCAATTAGAACTGGTGTTAATCTATCTTTCAGCCCCATCATCGCTAAACACATTTTTGTCTATGACTCTGTTTTAGATAGAATTATTTATGCAAAACTTCAATTTGCTAACAAACAAAAATTATTGGTCATTAATTGTTATATCCACCTACCAATCCTCCTACAGACATCACAAAACAATCTATTATCTTTTTAAAATGATTACTAGATGACACCATAAAAAGTGATTTGCACATTATTCTCATTGGAGATTTAAATACTGATATAGATCGCACTAATAACTCATCTTTTAACTTAAATTTTGTCAATTCCCTCCACAACTATGATTTATATGATGTGTTCAATATCCAATTTAAAGATGATCGCACCTTATACCCATCCTGTAATAATAGGAATTCTTCATCCAGAATTGACTATATTTTCATGACAACTGAATTGGCGCTTCATATATTAGACTGCAAAATTGTACAAATGGATTCTTCCATATCAGACCATCATATTGTTTCTACAAAAATTATTAATTTCTTAAAACATTCTATGTCCTCAAGGAAAAGTCCTATCAAAACTTCCTTCAACTTTAATTTGATGGACAATTCGAAATGGTTCAAATTCAAAGATAACTTGGATAATAATTTGAATTCCAATGTGTTAAAACATATTTCAACCAATACCGTCTGATTCCAAAGTCTCCTTAACTCTTCTTGGGACCTTTTTCAAGATTCTCTTATCTCTGTAGCAAAAAAATGTATTCCAATTTACAAGTCAAAAAATTATCACTCTTCAAAAAAACCAGTTGCCCTGTCAAAGATCTACAATAACATTAAATTCCTCCATCGTTTCGATAAAACTTCAAAAAAATGTCTGGCAGACCTCATTGTACACGATAAATGGATTAACACTTACCCACAATTTTTACAGCTTGTTCACGATAATAGTTTGAACACTATTCCCTTAAATAGTCCTCCTCACGTACTTATGATTAACACCGTCCTTCCAGATATCAAACTTCTTCTAGCTAGCCTAAAAATAAAGGCAGAACTGCGTGAACACAACTTCAAGCTTAAGAGTATTCAAGATGCTCTGGATGCCCGTATAGAAGACTACAAACACAATCCATCTCAGATGATTGACTCAATCCTTAATCGCAGAAAAATGACCATCGTATTGGATATATATATTGATAATTCGTCTCCACATCATCATTTACTTTTTGAAGAACAGGATGTTAAAAAAGAAGTTGCTAGACATTTCCAACAG